TAGTAGTGTATATATCAGCATGTCCCACTGTGTTTGGCCCAGTTGATAACTTTTTTCAAATCATTATTTTTTGAATACTGTAGAGTGTATTTAAATATTTTAGGTATCAATTATAATTAATATCACTGTGAAATTTGAAAATTCAGTGAACTAATTCTGTATGATTATTCTGATTATAATGATACATTTTTATTTTCCATAAAGTACCACAAGTACCCATGTTTCATGGCTTTATAAAATACATACTTATATAGATTCTAGATGGTTCAAGTGCAGTAATAAATTGCAAGAATCGAATTCTGAAATGTAATGATTAAGAGAATGTTACACGGACATTTGTTGTCTCCGTCTTACAAGTGAGTAGGCTCAGAAGATCACGTTTAGCTCGGCAAGTTTCAAAATTAGAGTAAATTGACCTCTTTGACCTCTTAATAATTTCAAGGTAAGATTATTATCTAAGATATCTCATATTTATTGTATACTAATTTTAAATTGAGTTGTGAGTATTCTAAGATATACAAACAATATTTACAATTTTAACATACTCATAACTCACTTTAAAATTAAAATACCTATAAAAAAAGCTCTTGAGATGCCCTAGATAATTATCTTACCTTTCATTTTTACATGAGGTAAATTCACTCTAATTTTTAAACTAGATATGCTGAGTTAAAAATTTGGTATGTACTTACGCACTTGTAAGACGGAGGCAACAGATTTCAGTGTAACGTCCTATGAAGAAAACATTTTTTTGGGGGTTGAATATGAACTAAACTGGTTTAAATTAACTAGACATCAAGAAATTATTGAAGTTCTCAATATTAAAAATACTTATAGTACCTACGCTAAAAGTGAAATAAACTTCAAGCTGTTTTTTTTTAAAGAAAAATAATGATAGTTACAGTGATTAAAGGTATTGATTATTTTATAGACGTGACATAATTTTATAAATAATATAAATAAAATAATATTTACATAACTGTGAAACCAATACTTATGTATTGACCGCTCTACTCAGAATTTAAAAATCATGAAATTATAAATTCAGCAGTTTTTTTGAAATCTATATCTTCTTCAAATTTTCCATTTGAAATAGAATTATAGACATATTGTACTCTAATATGTATTAATACTTGATATCTTATAATATTACTATAACTATTGTTGATAAAATTAAAACAAATTAGTTAATTAAGTGGTATAAAGTACCTGCTTACCTATTTATTTGCTTTAAATATTAATTTTGATGACAACTTAATACACTGATTTCTATAAATTGATTTTAAATAGGTATCCACCAAATTATTGAATTATTTAAGAATAATTAAATAGTTATCTAAAACACATTTTTTACAAAATTAAAAAAAACATTTAACCTTTTTTGAAACAATTATGAGGCATGCAATATTTTATATGTTTGTGTTTATTACAAGTAATATTTAATAAAATTAATATTATAAATATAATACAATATTTAAATAATTAAAAATGTAATTGAATTTATCTTCAATCTATATTATGATTAATTATACAACTATAAATATTAAAAATTATATGATAATTGTCTACAAAGTAATGAAAATTGTTACGTTTTATAATTCAAAATGTAAAATATTTTGTTTTTTAGCAAACATTATTAATTTATTATTTTTAGAAGACGTTAGCAGCTGTTGTTTGTCGTCATTTTTTGAATCATGAGAGAAGGGGATTACCCCTTCTCTGTGAAATAAACACACCCGCGTTAGATAACTACCCGTGGGCACCGCAGTAAGGTGATAATAATGACCCTGTCACGTTAATGACTGATAATAGTTTTTGGCGAACAAGTCGCTTAATTACCTAATGTCTGATAATTTAACGAAAAAAAAAAATTCATCAAGATTTCGATTTTTGATAAATCACCCATCGATAAGCGTATAATATTTAAATAATATTATTGTTACTTACTATAAGTTCTATTGAGTTTCTTAGTTAATTCGCCATTTCAAGTTGCCATTGAAATAACATTGTAGCGAATACGTTCTAGGCGCACACTATTATAATAATATACACAGCATTAACACACTTTGTACACGATAATCCGCGAATGTATGTATTAGAAGCGTTTCATAACAGTGACTCAATTCGTTTTTTTTTTCTTTCTTGTTTTTTTTCTTTTCTGTAATCGGTAGATATATACGCCAATATAATAAATAAGCGCATAGAATATTTTGGCAGATAAGACGTAGGTACCTAACGCACAGTGTGATAGCTATGTAACATCTAATTACTATTCGGAGTGCAATAAAGGTCGGGCACGTGCAACGTGCATATTTTAATGACGTAGGTAATTGATAACATTTTTCTTGATAATTTATACATTTTTTTTTTTTCGGAAGTGAAGTTCGTTTTTAAAATTTTTTCTCTGCCTTAAATAATAATAGGCGTAGGTATATAATAATATCATATTATTATAGGTATAATAATTGGCGCGGGCCTTATCAATCCGACTTGCCATAAATTATTGGCCGCAAATAAATTTAGCGGCGCATAGCTGCACAGCGGACGTACTATTAGCCATATATACCTAGGCACTGCAGCGGCAAGCTAATCATCATACTTGTATGTATATTATAGGTATTCTATATATAATTGGTAGATTATGTATACCTACCGTTTTAAATTATTACATATTTATATTAGGTAGTATGTAGGTAACTGTACCTATTCGTGATATACGGTTTATTGTTCTTAGATAATGCCACAACTACTATATTACAGTATTATAATATAACGCGTTTAAATGGTTATTTTAATCGTAATATTGAAATTACGTAATAACTGGAGACAGATCTCTATTTTTTATGATAAAAAAACCGAAGTTTGCAGGCTCGATATCAATTAATAATGATCGGGTTAACAACCTATAGGTACTAAATGTTATTGCGCTCGTACCGGCTGATTGTATCCATTAGTGATTAGACTATTAGAAAGAGTTCAAGAATATTTCTACCGAATTCTTTATGCACATTATTGTTGAACTTTACCATTTATTATACACGTGAGAAGTTTACAATGAGGTCCTCAACGCAGATATTTTTTTCCGCAGATGAATCGATACAAGAAATAATTTAATAAAATAGTAAATACGAAAATGGATACAATTTGTAAAATTAAAAACAATAAATGAAAATTTAATGTGGGGTTAAAAAACAATTAAATGACATAATAAAGGGAGCGTCTAGTGACACCAATTCTGTTAAGCTTAAATCTAAACCAAATTTGGTTGAGAGTGATCTATGATAAGTACATATACAAGTATAATAAGTCAATGACTCATTTTCCAAGCTCACTTCAGATAAAAACCAGAGCAAATAGGTCTTGAGGTCAAAACCGAGATAAGTCAAATGTTAGTTGTAAATAACCCTTAACATAATTTAATAATATACTGGGTGATTCACCGCTCTTTTCTGACCATCATTCTTTTCCTTTAACTATGAATCTATTTAAATTCTAGTTTAAGTATTTTTAATTATATTTAAGAACCACATTTTTAATTATTTAATTGTATTTTACCATTTATAAGAGTGTTGTAGTTGGAAATACACATTTCTTTCAAAGGAAAACAATCAATTTTTGCGATGTTCTGCGCTCAAGCACATTCGCCCTCCATTCCCCCCCCCCCCACCATAACAATTTTTAATGAATAATATTATTCTCATTGTTAACGAAATATTAATGAACAAAATCTTTATTTATAGGTTCACTCTCCTTGAAAACTGTCTAGGGACTCCCCTGTTTGAGCTAGTACAATTTTTACACATCGGAAGTTAGAAATTTAGGATGATAGTCCTCTAATATGGGTTTTCTGTAAAAATACTAAACAGATTGAATATTGAATCTAATAAATATTAGTCATACCCCAACAATTTTTATAAATAATAAAATGTCTATAGTTAAATATTAATTATTAACATTTATCAAATTATCAAAGCCCCATAATATTTTCTGAACCTAATTACCACCGACTTATATTATTATTAGTGTAAAAAGTTGATTAATTTATTCAAAAACTACTTGTTCTAAAAATTTCCATTCAGATACATACGAGTTTTCAAATAATTCATCTGACTGAAAATTTATTAGAAATAAGGGGAATTTTCATTTGAACAAAATAAGTTGGGATCATCACGATACACCCCTCAATCGGTTTAAAAATCTAAGTATTTGAAAATATGGTCCTTATTAAGACGTAAACATAAAAAATTCCAAAAATTAGGTTTGAATAAATAAATAAATAATTAATCATTTTTAAAGAAAAATAAGGGGCGAATTACCCTATAATCTGTATGTACAAAAAATGTGTATAGATTCTACTGAAACTTATATTTACCTACATACATAATACTAATTTGCAAATACCATATACTATATGCATATTATGTATTATGTACCTATAAGTATTTATGTAAATAAATATTGAAAAATAAATAAACACTAAATGGTAATATTTTTAAAAATTAAATTTTTACATACTTTTTATATTCATTATTGGAATTGAAAAACAAATACTTAAATATTAATCATACACAATAATATAGTATATATTATATTTCTAATACATTATCTAAGCGCCTGCTTGTATTTTATCATATTAAAATCCAATAAAGAGTTCACTGATCCATATAGAAATCGTTAAACAAAAACATACTTTTTACATCCGATATTCGGTGGATCTCCTCATTTAGACGAACTTATGCGTTCTAAAAGTGCATCACTTAGATTCATTGTCAACGAGTTGTATAGGTACAAAAGATGTTTGTTGAATGTAACTATATATTTTGCGCAATCAAGTACCTTCATAAGAACTTATTTTTGTTTATTCTGTTATCAACTAAAGCTTTTGAATTTTGATAACTAATTGTTAGATGTGATAATATAAGCATTAAGCAGATAACAATTAGGTCTAATATTTTAGTTATTAATTATTATTATGATTAACGGTAGTTGTAATACCATACCTATACCATTGTAGGTACTTCACATTAGTAGATCTTCAAATAATTGTAACTATCACTTTATATACTTTATTATCGTATTCGAGATTAGTATGTTATAGGTAATATTATGTAAAATAAAAAGTAACAAAACACTGAAATTTCTCACTCGCGCCGTTGAAATATAAATTATTTAAACATTTTAACACAATATAAACTATGATACTATGACGTTGTAATCGAGTTAGGCAAAAATAATCGACTGCGTTTCTATCTATAGTTTAAGTATTCATACTGATATTATATTGGCGTGTATATATATATAAAAGTGCACAAATCAATTTATAGTTGAAATTTACTGGCTTTTATAGAAGTATAAATTATATTGACCTATATAATGTTTTGTACGTAAATTCGCATAGAGCTGCTCTATACTACGGTTGAAATGTTTATGAACACGCCCGTCCCGATAACCATTATATTATATGATACTTTATATCATATGCATAATAGTATAATAGGTATAATAGTGCAATGTTCTTACATAAGCGGGGAGTACATTATAATATAATAATTATCATTAACAGTTAAATCAAGTTAAGTCACACGAAGTACGTTTCCACTAATTTACTAAAACATTTTAAAATTGCACACTTTTGTTACAGTGTTGTCCAATATTTGTTTTACTCAAGTAGGTACGTTTTACACCGCGTTCACTCATATTATGTTTATTTTCTGTAAATTGTATTTCACTGCGACCGCGTGGAATACAATTAATTATAATATATATTGACCCGACAGTGGTCAATTACGTGTTTTTGTTTTCAATAAAAAAAAATTATATTTCATAAATTCGCAGGTAAAATGTTATCTTCATATTTCTACATTATGGGTGCACTTATAGGTACGCTGAATGTGAACTTTGAGTATTGTTTATTAAACTGTAAAACTTTAAAGGAAAACCCCGCTTTGATCGTTTTGAGTGGATGCGTGTACGGTTATACACTTGATTGCAATTATGATAAGTGATATTATTTATTATAATCGCTCGTTACGTTTTTTTTATTCCATTCATTTGGCAATTACAATGTCGACTGTGATTTCTCATAAAAATTCACTGACACTTTATTATAACAAACTGTTCAGTACGGCAATACAAAAATATAACATCATACAATTATTATACGCGTGCTTATATGATACAGTTTTGAAAATGTATCATCTTCAGTGATGATACCAAAATAGTGAATCGCGCGACTCTCATCGACATTATACTGCAATTTACAATAAGCCTCTTCTATTATAGCCTATAATATGTAATAGGTCAGAAGATGTATACAGGGTGATTCGCAAAAAATGCACTCCCCCCCCTTCATTGTTAATATTGTTATTTCAAATCAAATTTTTGTAATTTCTAAATACATAGGTATTATATCCAGGCAAATAAAGTAGTAGTGTTGGGTAGTAACGTAACGTGCGTTACTCGTTACTGTAACGTAGTTACATTTTTCAGTAACGTTATGGTAACTTCGTTATTATTATTTTTGGGTAACGCAAGAGTAACTACGTTAATTATTTAGAAGTAACTTAGCAAAAGAAAGCATTAATTTATAAATTCAATTTTTTTAAGGGGCTGGTATACTATCGTGGTGCTATTTCACGGGACAGTCCTTCCCCTCGTATCCGCATCAGAAAATGTAATTATATTAATAATTTAAGTAGGTATTTATGTAATTACAAAATTTTCACAATTTAATCTAATATAATTTTATAAATATATGATTTTGTGTTATTATTATTTTCAATTTAACTGATTTTAACCTAATTTCTGATCAACCTTATGGTAAAGTGGAGCGCTATTATAATACAGCTTATACAGGCGATTTAAAAATTTAAAAATTTTAAATAGTTTACCTATGATGAAACAAATGTTTTTAAAGTTTAATACGTCACTCCCTTCTTCAGCTTTTGTTGGAAGGCTCTTTAGTGTAGCTGGAGACATTTGTACGAAAAAACGAGCTAGAATAACTGATCAAAATTTTGAAAATACATTATTGTACAAAATAAATATAAAAAAAGATTGATTTAAAAAAGACTTTTTTTTTATGAAACTTAAATAACCCAAGAGTAACGTCATTGTAACTAGTTACTTTTGAGTAAAAAATGTAACGTGATGCATTACTTTTATACTCGAGTAACTATCAAGTAATCTAGTTACCTATTTTATTTTGTATATTGTAACGTAACTTAGTTACTTTTAAAAAGTAACTTACCCAACACTGTAAAGTAGTAAAATACTACAGTACGAGTATACGACATTATGGAATGCCTGAGATTTTCTGTCTCATTTAAGGTCTTAAGGAATATAATATATACTATATAGTGACGATATAATACTTTTTACTTTCAAAGTATGGGAACGTATATTCTTAATATTATTACTTTAAATTATTCGGCAGATGATTTTTGTTTGGAATGCTGATGTATCTAAATAAAAATGTTAGTAACTAAACAATATCATTTATCCAACTATGGTCTACGAATAAAAAATAGTAGGTTTATACATTATGTTATGTAATATTCAGTGGCGTGGTGAAAAATTTTTTTTTTGCCAAAAAATATTTTCTTATTATTCTTTATATAATAGCCTTTTTATGTTTGGATTAATATTTTATTTGTTTTCAAATTTGTCTTTAAACATTTTAAATGCCAAGTTTGTTATGTTTTTATGTTTTACGTTTTTAGTTTGTTATGTGGTAAGAAAATTAAATTTGAACTATTTAAATTGGAAATGTTATGTAAAATGGTAAAATTAAAAAATATGAATTCTGGCAATGTTTTATCAAATTATATTTCATAAAAACGAGAAAAATATCTATAGTTGATGACATTTATGATTTTAATATATATCTATGAACTATGCTAAAGACTGGAGTATACTTAATATAATACCTACCTATATTGATATTTAATTTAAAATATATACATTTAAACTGTTTATGATATTTTTAACAAAAAAAAAAAAATAAAACAAAATGAAGAACCCTTTCAAAGCCATGCAATATTTAACCCTGCTGATATTTCTGCATCAATACAAAAGATAAGATTTATTGTATTTTCTTTATTAGTAGACATAAAAAAATTAAAGTCCAAAATAAATATACACTTATTATTTTATTTTGTTTATCAATACGATTTTTAACTTGTAGTAAATATAAAATAATGGTAAAAACAAGTGGAGAAACAAATAATTTTTACTGTTCTAATAAGTGATGTTTGATGACTGACACACAACAAAAAATGCATAATTGTAAAATCAATACCTAAATTTATCCAAAAGGGGAATGGAGCTTGGCGATTTTTACTACAAATGGTAAATCGACATTAACCGAATATGCAAAAATCGTTAATTGGAATATTAAATAATTTTATAATATATAAACTATAAAGCTATAAATAGTAAATGCCATTCATATTATGATAAACGTTTTATATTATTATTTGCGTAACCCACTTAACTTAACGCTCAACTTAATTTTCATGGTTACAATATTTTTTGGGCCGATCGCGATCATCCTGACTGTACTTATGCTTAAACGGCTCTGTGGTCAGGTTAGCATACTTAAATTGAGTGTACCTAATTATTGAAAGAGGTTACTACATAATCGTAATGGGTAAGTTATAATTTAAATTCTATGGTACCTACATATGGAAAGATGCTTTGAGCGGAGACGGTGTGGTCGGCTTTGATTCTCCAGATATTTTATTACCTATTGAAGCATATAATTTTAAGAGTCTATAAGCCACAACCACACCGCACACGTTTCCTCAGGATTGAGAATTTTTTACTCTTCACTCCTTTTTCTCTTCAAAGCGCTAACTAAGAATCCGATTTTCAATCCAAAAGCCACCCTATAAATGTCTCGGATCGACATTTTTACCGGCCTAAAAAGTAACACCAGACCAAAATCGCGGACTCTGCTTCGCTCTCATAATCCGAAACCGATTGTAAGATATATTTTTAATATAAATATAGAGTGAAAAAAGGCGCATAGAAAAGTATTGTTATTCTTTGCCGTCGGATATCCAAACATTTCTCTCTAGGGCCACTGTACCGAGAACTGCCATTGTGGTCCACGGCCATAGTAGGTAATATTATGCACAGCTATAAATTATAATCGCACAGAGCTCGTCTGTTGTTCCCCCACTCTAAAACGGTTTTTATCTCGTCTCGCTGATAATCATTTCTCCGAATCGACGTTCAGTTGGCGCCGCTCCGCTTACCGGAGTTTTCACCGCGGTATCACAGGAACGATACCGTTTCATCCGATAAAAATATTATTGTTTCACACGCACCCGCACGTCTTCGTCGCGTGGAACGGAGAAGCGGGAAAAAAAATTCACGACATCGATCGGGGGTTGGCGAGTGGTGGGGTGGGGTGTAAGAACCGCGACGTCGGAACAACAATAAAAAAAAAAAATAAATAACAATAATAATAATAATAATTGATAAAAAAAAAGGCGCGGGCAATGGCCGCGCGAGTGTAAAAAATTTTTTAAATAATAATAAATTCGAGAAAGGAAAAAAACCGTCGTCTACCCACGGCCGGCCGTGCTCGCCTTCCCACTGGGGCCGTTCTGTGAAATCAGCAACACTCTCGCTCGCGTATTTAACAATATGATATTATTTTTGAACACACGCATATCCAATATGCGTATTATGTGGCGTGTTGTTTTTCGTCCCGCGATAATAATATAATAATACTTAAATAATAATAATAATATGTTCGTCGTTTATTATTATTATTTTAACGTCGGCGTCGTGCGACCGACGCGGCCCGGGCCCTGTGAAACACCTCGTCAGCGGTAACCCCGCGACGACCGACACATAATAATATTATTATTATTATTACTATCTCACATATTCGATGTATTATTATGTTGTATAATAAATAAAATACATCGTTATTACATTTTTATGCATATATATATATATATTATAATATATTAATATGTAATATTTTATTTTATCATTGTCGTCATCATCATTGACATCGCGGCCGCCGCGCGAACGTCCGATTACGCATTTTTTTTTCCAACGCTCATTGTAATATTTACCTACGTGAGCGTTTATAGTACATAGTATTATGTTATATTATATTATTATTATTATTATTTAAGTACCTGTGTGTGTGTGTGTGTGTTTTTGTACATTTTTTTTTCCATACAATTTTCGCAACTGCGATGAACCGTCTCTGTCGAGATAATGATAATAATATGTATATAGACGCCGCCGCTGGGTTGTATTCATTATGTCCCATCACAATTATTATTATTTTCATATCACAACTACGGTTATCATTACATTCCGTCTCAGAATCCCACACACGTGTATCCCTCATATTATACGGTGTAAATACTGCTGCAGTTGATATAT